CGACGTTTTCAAGCCAATAAGTCATTGAGTAATCAACAAAAAAAAAATCCGCTGAAGCATTATGAGACGAATAAATGGGCTGCCGATTGTCGAAAACTGTCTCCAAATATTTGGGGTAGTTTTCGATGCAATTTACAACTTTCTAGCACATTAGGCAAGTCCGTGCTCGCTAATTTCATTAGCAATAATGTGGTGTTTGAACAATTGGAATCGGATTATGCAATCGGCCGCTGCTGCACCAAATGCGCGCAAACAGGCGAAACGATTCAGTGACCTTGAACAAAAAAATGGTACGATTCAAGACGCTGCAGAAAAAAAAAATTGAAGATGAAGGGGTGCTGGAAAGATAAGGTCGCAAACTTAATATGGTATTTAGCACATAAAAATGGACCGATTCCCCCCAAAAAATGTTAACTTCTAATTATGTTGAGGTAAACCCACTTTTCAGATCCCCGTTTCTTGGGCTATGAGTAAAATAATCCGTTTCATGTCATTTCGTTTTTTATTTTCACGAATGGGTTTAATTAGAAGACAATTTCTAGGGGCCAATTTAGGTATCTAAGAAAAAAATACAGTTAAAGTGTGACGAAGTGTCACCAAATGAAACTATCTCTATACAACATTGGCATTAGGCCAAACTGTTTACATGTGACGAGTAAGAGGTTGGCAGCGCGGACAGTATCGCCTAGAGAGCTATCTACTTTCGTATCTGGTTCTCAGGCACAAGTTCTGTTGCAAGAACGGTTGCAAGTAAGTTACCATAGCCGCTTTCGGGTGCCATAGTTTGAGCACTCCAGAGTTACTCCGGAGTACTTCGTCCGCGCTTCGGCCAGTTCGTCTGCGCAGATTTCACGCTCCGGAGCTGTTCTTACTTTCCTCCTCTCTGTCCCCTGACACACCTACCTTTTTATCGTCACATGTCGAATTCAATTGAGAAAAGTAAGCGTTGGGATGTAAAGGGTACAATGCGCGTCCGGAGTGGAGCTCTTGGAGCTTGACGCTCTACACCCGAAAGCGGCTCACGTGGTTAACTGCATCAGTAACTGCCCCACAAGTCACTAGTGCAAGTAACTAACCTATTTACTATACCAATAAGCAGGGAGAGTTGATGAACTCGTTTTGCCTCACTGGACAAAAATAAACGTATGCGAGATTGTTTATCTTTATTGCACTTCCATTGACTCAAAATCTGCTCAGCCAGTGAATGGAAAAGGCACTTTAGTATAAAAAATATGATAAAAGTTAACGCATGTTTCACTTCCCAAATAAAGATGGGCGTATCAGTGGATACCATATTTATGAGCTCAACTGCTTGTCAAGGGTAAAGAGCCTATATTTTGAATAAATTAACATGAATAATTCTAATCCGGCAAGTACAGACCCTTAGCAAGAATAAACATTAAACGATGGCAATATCTGAATAGGACCCTAACGTAGCACCCTTTTAGTCACAATTTCGACTAAATAATTAAAAAGTAAATTCTCGTTCCTGTGCGAAGTTGTAAAGAAAAGCACCGTTCCACTATAGCCTCACAATTTAAAGTTTAGTTTCTAGTTATTTGTTATTCAAAATGTATTGCTTCAAAGCGGAAGTGAATTTATTCTGCCATGATAAATAAGAAAACTTTGTTGATGGTGTCGTTGAAGTCTGATTGGTTGCCAGCAAATACGTTTCGCGTAAAATCATTGTAAGCATACTTTTACATATAAAGCTGGGATCTTAAGAGCGTCTGGGCTGGGACTCTGTAACGAATAGAGATATTTTTTCTATCTCTAGCCAGCATCATAGCATTTTGAAAAATAACAATTTTGAAGTTATTAGCATTTCTTAACAATCCAAAAAATGCTCTTGGTGTTACGTCACTGGAATACACCCCTGTGTTAAGAGAAGTAACTTGAATTTGTCATTAAGCTGTTCAATTAAAGTACGAGAAAAAATACCCATTTTCAAGAGAAACTTCGAAAAAGTCCCTTTTTTAGCGATAAATGTAACCCTTTTTTGAAAATTCGATAATTTGAGTTATAACCAACTTTCGAAAAATTTTAGAAATTACTTTCTTCAGGAATGTGCATGTGAAAACCTAAAGATCAAAAAGATGCATAGAAAAATTTCCAAGATCAAAAATTGAGAATCTGACATAGCCCCAAACTTTTCTAAAAAAAAAACATGACTTCCTTTGCTCACCCTGTATAAGTGGATAAATAAAAGAAATATACCGGTCGAACCCTGTACCTGTTCTCAAAGAGTTGGTCAAGAATTTCCCGGATACCGCAACTCGATGTCTTTTTCCGTTCCGAAAATATCGAAGTTTGAATTTGGGTAAAATTTTACATGTTGCAAAGCAACTGTCCACCAGTTTAGATTAGACACTATGACCTTATCAACCAACCGAAAAAATTTATTCCAGTTTTTTTTATGGATTTTCGTTACACTGTTGGTGTTAGAATTATAGGGTGGTCCAAAAAAAACCGGAATTTTGTTTTTGAGCTGTAACTTTTTTATTTGTTGACCAATTTTCCTTTGTTTAGGCTTGTTTGAAAGAGAAATGAACAGGCTAACGAATCAGGGTGAAACTTTTGACATTTGAAAAAAATCCAAAATGGAGGACTCTTTCAAAAATTGCCTAGTTTTGGATAGCGCTGGAAATTTTTTGTGACACCCTGTATAAGTTTTTTCAATAAATTCTTAAAGTTCATCATTTTACGAACATTTTAAGACCTCGACAGAAAAAATCGGTGGAAAACTAAGTGAAATATTGAATTTTTTGTAATATCGAATTTCAATTTTTTATATTGACAGCAAAATCTAGGATATGCTATTTCAGCTAGATTTTTTTTTTCTACTCGAGATATTTTTTATTTCGGGCTTGTTCGAAAAATGAATAGATAGGATAAGGATTCGAAATAAAGATTTTGACTGTTGAGAAAAAATTAAAGATTTCCAAGGTCCTTTAACATAGCCAATTTTGAAAAAGTTGACGATAAATTTTCTAACAATATGACTAATATTTTTATTTTAAATTTAAAAAAATAAAGTAAACACATTTAAGGGGTAAGAGGCGATATGCCCTCCGTGGGCCTCAACAACCCATGCTAAACGTCTACGCCAAGAATCGATAAAATTGGCAATGTTACGTTGTTCCAGCAGTTTTCCCCAACACTCAGTGATTCGGTTGCGCAGCTCTCCTAAATTATCGAACGTAGCCCCATTTCCGTGGACTTTTTCTTTCAAATCTCCTCATGAAAAGTAATCGCAGGAATTCATATCTGGGCTATTAGGCGGCCAGTGAACGGGCTGTATAAAATCCGCAACTGGCTCTCTTAGATAGTTGATAGTAACGCGGCTATTATGTCACCTGTCACCTGGCTCCATCTTATATACAAACAGTATTTATCACCTTTATCTCATAAAAAGAGAAATACAAAAACGTAAAATTTTATCAAAGTTTTTGTGAGACCAAAATCTGAACGATAAATGTTAACTAAGTAAGTTATAAAATTACCTGCATAAAAGTGTAGTCTTGAGGTGTGAGCTGTTCAATTTCGGATCAAGGTTCCTAAAGTTAACAGGTTGTCTGGTAATGGGTAACTTGATGACGCATCTAGAGTGCCTTTGGGAGATTTGCATTAGGTTCAGGCATACAGATGACGTCATAAAAGTTATCTGGCAACCTACCCCTCTCAAACAGCGTTGATTTCGAATAGCATATGGCGAACACGAGCTGACAATACTTGCGTGAATCCAAGCGAACTCCTTGGTCGATAACAATTAGTTGTGCTTTGTGGCTTCGAGAAATTGCTGCAGATAGATACCATTAAATAACTGCTGAATTTTTCTCTTCCTTTATCTGCTTTTCGAGCTTGGAGGGAAATTCGTAGTTGGTCGTTTTGCGAATTTTTGACTCCGGATAAGGTGAAAATTTTCTCATCACTGAATCAAATTTTTAGGATTTCAGCACGGGCTCTAAATCTATTAAGGACAGTTTAAATGTGTAGTCCCGTTTAATATGCTGCAGCAATAAATCACTTTCAATTATTCTTTACTATCAACTATCTAAGAGAGCAAGTAGCGAATTTTATAGAGCCCGTTGACTCCTTATAGCCCAAATTTGAATCCCTGCGACTACTCCTTATATGGGGACTTGGAAGAAAAAGTCCACGGAAATAAGGCTACGTTCAATAATTTAGAAGAGCTGCGCAACCGAATCATTGAGTGTTGGGGAGAAATGCTGGAACAACGTAACATTGCCAATTCTATCGATTCTTGGCGTAGACGTTTAGCATGGGTTGTTGAGGCCCACGGAGGGCATATATCCCCTTAAATGTGTTTACTTTATTTTTTAAAATTTGTAAATAAAAATATTGGTCGTATTGTTAGAAAACATATCATTGACTTTTTCAAAATTGGCTATGTTGAAGGAACTGGGAAATCTTTATTTTTTTCTCAACCAGTCAAAATCTTCATTTCAAATCCTTACCCTATCTATTTATCTTTCGCACAAGCCTGAAATAGAAAGAATATGTCGAGTAGAAAAAAAAAATCTAGCTGAAATAGCATATCCTAGATTTTGCTGTCAATATGAAAAATTGAAATTCGATATTACGAAAAATTCAATATTTCACTTAGTTTTCAACCGATTTTTTCTGTCGAGGTCTTAAAATGTTCGCAAAATGATGAACTTCAAGAATTGATTAAAAAAACTTATACAGGGTGTTACAAAAAAGTTCCAGCGTTATCCAAATCTAGGCAATTTTTGAAGGAGTCCGCCATTTTGGATTTTTTTCAAATATCAAAAGTTTTATCCTGATTCGTTAGTCTGTTCATTTCTCTTTCGAACAAGCCCAAACAAAAGAAAATTGGTCAACAAATAAAAAAGTTACAGCTCAAAAACAAAATTCCGGTTTTTTTGGACCACCCTATATATTAAACAGGTAACATACGCATAAAAAATTGACAGCTCCATTAGGAAAATTTATAGATTATATATTTTTTTTTACAGAAATTGTCGAATTGGTTCGGAAGGGACCTAAAGCAAATAATAGCGTACCGCTGCGACCCACGATCTCAAGTGAAAGTGTTAATGAACAAGTTGACGAAATAACTTCTTTGATCGACAAGTGCTGGTCCGAAGATCCACACGAACGACCCGATTTTGGCACACTTAAAACCAAGTTGAGGCAATTAAGCCGCAAGTAAGTAACTTCGACTTTGCGATCAAAATTTTTCAAGAATATACTCAGGGACGGATTATCCATGAGGCACAGGAGGCACTGTGCCTAGGACCTACGAAAGACGAAGGGCCTACGATACTATTTTATTCTACAATGAGATACCTACCGACGTCAAATTTCACTCACGCACTAGTGCGTAAAGTAATTCACTTCACACACTAGTGCGTATTGTCAATGACAGATGTCGACACTGTCAATTGAGTATTTTTCTAGTAAATTACTTCACGCATTAAGGCGTGAAGTGAAAATACTTTACGCACTACACTTATTAGTAGTGGATTTTTTTTTAATGCGATATGTGTGTAAAGCACCTTTTTACACTCATATGATTGTCAAAAATCACATTCGTGGAAAACGTTCACTTTACACACTTGTTGCATGAATACCTAGTTCGATTTGATTAAATATGAGATCCTTAAAGTCTGTTTGAACAAAGATTTATGTATCTAGTAGTTTATGTAACCAGTTACAGAACGCCAATTTTTGTGTCATGAGGATTTCTAAAAAAAAACGCGAATGACATTAATCGGCGTTTTTTAAACGTATGCATAGGAGATTTTTTCTAATTTTGTTCTATAGAATTTTATATTTGATTTATCAAAAAGGAATCTCTTGATATTTCAATCTTATCCCAGTTCGTTTTTTTTTTCGTTCAGACTTTCCAAATGAATGGATTGGCAGAATAGGAAACATTGATTCGCCGGCACGTTCCGTTGATTCAACTGGTTTAGATTATTTTCGAGGGTTTTTCAAATTCTCACTCTAGAAACGCAAAAAAGAACAATGTTTCCTTATCATTAGGATACCCTGCGTGGAGTTACATAGTAATTTATCTCGGAAATGCGGCGTGGAGATTGTTTTTAATGTTTTTAACAAGATTGTAACTCCGCTTTATCGCCAGTCATAAGAACAATATCATCTGCAAAACGTAAATGATTAAGCCGAACCCCATCAATATTCACACCACGGTCCTGCCACGAAATTGAAAATATCCTCCAGTGCCACTGTAAATAGCTTTGGTGAAATGTTGTCACCCTGTCTAACGCCTCTTGAAATAGGTTATCATATCCTTACCAATCTGTGACTGCAAATATGACTACTTATTGACAGCTGTCAAAATCTGAAACCTGCGTATGAAAATTTTCATGCTTTTTCATAAATAAGCGTAACTTATATTGGAACAGAACTAGATTTAAATGTTTTTTTCAATTAAAGCTATTGTCAGATTCTGATAGCTATCAAAATTTGATATTTATCAGCTTTGTTTATTGTTTTATCACCAATGACTTACCTTAAAATGAAAAAGAACCCGATTGGAATCTTTTTTCTTAAAACAAATGACAGGTTTTGACACTTCTGTGTTTTTGTTGTTCTCAATTTTTGAACTCAGAATTTACATAAGTTAAAAATGTCAAGTGACACATCATGAAATATTGAAAACTGAAAAATATGAGTGCTGCCGTTTGGCAGAGATTTGACAGATGTCAAAATGGTTGACATTTTCCGATTTACCTTTTTTTATCACCCTTTCGAGCCCTAGCTCTGCACTGAAGCTCATTGTGGCTTATTGTTCATCATTTACATGGACTCTACTCCTTCCCATTTATGCTAGAGTCTAAATGGTCGGCCTTATCATGCATCCCCCATTCTAAGATGGTCCGATTCGCAATCCATGGTCGGCCATTCAGACTCCACCGACATTACGCAAGCCTGAGAAAGTCCTTCTACATCCTCTCGCCCAGCCAACGAGCCGGTTAAACACCACAAACAACCATGCCTTAGCCGGTATTCGAACCCGGGACCTGCAGCATGCGAAGCAGATACACTAACCACTACACTGCCTAGGACGGCTGGTACACTTCCTTGGTCGACTTCGTAGAAATTGATATTCACTTTATCAAAATCTGCTATAGTTACTCTGCTTCTGAATATTAGATTCCAATATTTGACAACTGACACCGCCTCACCTCTCATATATACAAGGTTGCGCCCATGGTAAAAAATGTTGCTTACGGCATCCCCAATAACATATTTAAATTTCATCCAAATATCACGGGTAACCAATTCCCATTTAAATATTGTGGGGTCCTTTGTGACAGTCTGTAACTTTGTAAAATGTTTTCAAACGTAGGTTTCAAAACATATACCTATGAGAGCCTTTGAAATAATCTTTACCAATAAACCAAGATATGTCAATCTCAACATCTCAACATTCTCACATTCGGTATCTAGCTGTTGTATTATTGCTATCTCTAAATCGATTTTTCGACGGGTCTTTGACCCAGCACATCTGCCCTCTTTTGCTACGAAAAGGAAAAGCATTTCTTGATTTGTTCCTTTCCGTATATTTGGACAAAGACTATGTACCGCTATAATTTGGTGTATGGCAAGAAAACAATAAGATGTGGGAAAAATATTGGACAACAAAACTGAAATCTATAGAATCCATGGATGGAAACAGTAAAATTCATTTTTAATAGCTTCATCGAAATAATATTATGGTTTTGATCACGAAAACATTTTTTTATTATTATTAAACAAATTGCCTTCAATAATAGATACGTCCCAGAAATCAAAGATAATATCCTCAGAAAAAAAAAAAAATCTTAAAAATTCATCAGTAAGATTTATCCACCTTCCACGATCCTAATAAAAACTTCAAATCATTGACATAATTTGGTCCAACAAGCAAAAAACTCAGTTCCTATGTGAATTTACTAGATTTCTAAAAACATTAAATTCACTTGAAAAACATTTCAAAAACAATGAAAGCAAATAAGATAAAATGTCAAAATCAGGAGTTTACAAACTACTTTGTTTTGTAATGGCTCAAAAACATTTACCTATGGGCCAGACTGGAAGACGATTAAAAACGAGATTTTCAGAACGTCCCAATTTATATCTCAAACATAAATCTGATTAATATCCCATCACATTTATTAACATATTCACAGTATTAAGACCCTAAGGTTGATATTTTTTTCTAGGTTCCTTAATTCATGCATTTTTACCTAGTGTGGATCGTTTTCAGAATTTTCATTTTTTATTGCAGTTAGGTATCCTCACCAACATTTAATATGACGAATAAATATCGAGCCATCGCTTCAAATGGTCGTAGATTAATAATCCTTCAATTAGGCATTTGTTGATCTCATGCGCTGATATTTTGAATGTGATCTATTTGAATTTAGGGATACTGGACGAATAAATCGAGGAAGTTTCAAGCCGAGTTACACGTTCCCAAAAAGGATCTCAAAACGAATTTTAATTTGAGAGGCGTTTACTTAGTTAATTGGGTATGCCTACCTACATTTCAGTTGGTGAAAATGGCCATAATGGTACGTGAATATATCTTCCTCAAAACCAAACGCAAATTAGGAAAACTATTCAGGTTACAACATAAATTATTTTAGGAAATTGGATTAAAGTGACAGTCTCTGCAACTCTGCTCAGTTTAATCAAGCTTTCGTCTCAAATTTATTTTTCTTCTTTAAGTATCTAGAAATAGATCAAGATGAATAATTTTTGAAATATTTCGTCATTGGTTAATCTCTGAGGGAAAAAGTTATTAGAAAATCGGATTGATATTTTTTTAATCAAATTTTAAACTTTTTATTTTGATTCATTGCTTTGCGACAGTAATCTAAATTTAAATTTAAATCATTCGAAGACAATAATTGTCGTCCTCTTTTACAGAGAAAATGACATGAATCTACTCGATAATCTACTAACACGTATGGAACAATACGCAAACAACTTGGAGTCGCTCGTCCAGGACCGAACTAAGGATTACCTGGAAGAAAAACGCAAATGTGAAGAAGTTTTATATCAGCTACTTCCAAAAAGTGTTGCACAACAATTGATCATGGGAGAATCGGTTACTGCAGAAGCATTTGATTCGGTCACCATTTATTTTAGTGACATCGTTGGCTTTACAGCTTTGTCTGCTGAAAGCACTCCATTGGAAGTTGTTGATTTACTCAATGATCTGTATGGCTTGTTTGACTCAAGAGTTGAACATTATGAGGTGTATAAGGTGAGATATTTATAATAAATTTTAATATGAATAGTTATGATGTTTAAAAAGTCCAAAAACACGAAATACATATTATATTATTATTCAAGAATAATTGGAAATCGGAGATATTCATTCCAAATATTCCATGTATTGTACACAAATCTTCTTATATCTGATATCTACTTTTTCAGATAAAAAGCACGATTATCTAAAAAATATATAAAATCATAATTTTCATATGTCTGTATCGTCTCGTGGATTACTCTAGAAAATTCTTGTTCTCACAGAAATAATAATGATAAGTGTTTTATTAATATAATAGATTAAAGAAAAACTACCACAACACAGGTTAAATTGAGTTAATGCTTATCCAACATCAGCCTCGATGCGCTAGTTATGTCGTCCGCATGCCAGATTTGCGTCTTCCTAAAAAAAGTAATGTCACGGATTCCGGGTTCATTAAAACCCACTTCACAAACAGTAGGTAATGACTTTTATTAAACAAAATTTACTTATCGAAGCATACGACATGACAAATATCGAATTAAATCTGACTTCACTTAATGATACTAAGAGCCAGGGGCGTGAAATTTTCAGTAAGAAAAGCAGTTTAAAAACTTATCACACATACACGGATAGCCGTTAAAACAAAGAACCTACTCCAGCGATAGCTTTCTCGCCTGCTTAATAGAACCCAAAAAAGTCAAATTTCAACTGTCAATATTTCCAAAACAGTTGAACTGAGGTATAGTGTATATCACATGAAATATGTTCAGAATTTTATGTAGAATCCGAATATTTAATAATATACATATGCTTAAACTTAATCCAAAAAAATCCATAGTTATTCTTTTTCGTAATAAAATATTGTTGATAATATACCTGATGAATTTTCCTTATCTATTGGTAACCAAATACTCCAAGTCATCAGAAACACTGAAAACTTAGGTTTAATTATTGATTCACAACTTAAATTATCCAGCCACATATCATATGTTCTTAAAAAGTATTATTGTGCTCTAAAAACCATTTACCTTCACATATACTATCTTGAACAAAACATCAAACAAGAACTATGTGATTCTCTTATTTCATCACATTTTAATCACCGTGATGTAGTATACGGGCCATGCCTGGATAGTCGTGACTCTCATAGAATTCAAAAGATGCAAAACTCGTGCATTCGATTTATTTTTGGCATGAGTAGACGTGATCGAGTGTCTCAAACTTAAAGATCTTAAATGGCTTAATATGTTCAATAGGAGGAAATTATATTCTGGCTTATTGTTCTACAAAATTATAAAACACCGATTTCCTCCGTATTTATAGAACAAAATTATTTTTCTCACTGATGTTCACCATTCAAATTTGCGGAGAAATACATTAACAATATACCCAAACATAGGAACCAATTTTTCAAAAAATCCTTTTCTTATAACATGTGTCACCTTATTAATGCCATATTACCTGTTTCTGATATGTCTGATTCACTTGTCACATTTAAGAAAAAATTAAAGCAAAAATTACTGGAATTTCAATGACATCGTAACATAAATGACATTGCTTTTTGGTCAATGTTGTATTGCCAATTGAATAAGTACAATTATTAGTTATGTTTATTATTTGAATGAATTGATGAATTTTTCATTTTGTAGGTAGAACAGAACTTGCATTGTACGCAAGAGTCTGATACACCGGCTTTTATTTACCCTATTGTTACTTACTATACCTATTGTTAATATATTTTATGTATAATTTTTGTATGGTAAATAATATACCTTATTATTATTATTATTATTATTATTAGTTACAGAAAAAAAAAATACGATTCAACTAAACCTTAACAAACCAATTAATTCCAGGTTGAAACTATTGGAGATGCTTACATGGTTGTCTCCGGTCTCCCACAACGTAATGGCCTAAAACACGCATACGAAATAAGTCGATTGGCATTGGACCTACTCGGAGCAATTAAACAATTTAGAATTCGTCATCGGCCAGATATGCCACTGCTGTTGCGCATTGGCCTTCATAGCGGCCCAGTAGTTGCTGGCGTAGTAGGCCATAAGATGCCTCGGTACTGCTTGTTTGGAGATACCGTTAACACTGCATCCAGAATGGAAGCGAATGGAGAACCTTTGAAGATACATATTAGTGCAGCCACCATGAAAATTTTGGAAAAGGTTGGTCGTTTTGAGATTCAACGCCGTGGAGAGGTTGAGATGAAGGTAGGATTTTCGATTTTATATCAATGTATATTTAATTCAAATTTTCATTGCCACGAAGAAATACGTTACAGTTGATCGACAATTTTGTTTTTATCACAAAAAAAAGAATATAACGGTAAAACTCCAACTATACGGAATCGCCAATTATCCGGATCGCATCCGACTCCACTAAACACTTATAGAGTAGGAACGTTTTCAGAAATTGGGTGTTTTTAAGCATGTGAGGAGCATTTCCTTTTCATAACATTTTTGCCGAAGACATTTCTAGGGGTTTTCGACTCCGCTCAATCCGGAATCAATTGAGATGAACTTTGGAAACTAAAATAGCTGGATGGCAGTTATTGCCAGATTGTAGAACTTAGAAATCGACTAGGTACTTCTCAGTACACCATTCATCTCTGCAAGACTAAGAGTCGGTTTATTCAACTTCTCATAAATTGTCAGGTATGCAATCTGACAGATAAAAACTCAATCTGTAATCATAAATTGATCGGTCAGTTATCCCCCGACCAATAGAATTATGGAACGGTAAATGTATCTTGCAGATAGTTACCAGCAAGTTTATCTGAAGATGAATAAACCGGGCCTAAGACGACCAGGAAGTAGCTCATGCTTCAAACTTTCTCCCACCTTCATAAGCTACAAGCAAACGGTTCATGATGTCTCTACCGGCCTGCATGGGATTTTTCGCAGCTTTGTTTTTTTCACTTTTGTATAGATATAAAAGCTCAATAGGTTCGGCTTTTCCGGTTTCCTTTAGCAAGATAAAGAGTTTCTGTACAAACTCTAGTTTTCATGTTCATTCTTTTCTGCATTCGACAGTGATTGTTGAAGTTCTTTTGATGACCGATCCTTGTTAGCAACCCAGAAGAACGTTAGACTTCATAGTGCGGAGAAGAGAGTCTGGGTCGGCATTATCTCCTGGCCGGCTAGTTGTTTAAAAAATATATATAAAATTATAGTCCTATAAATTTTTGAATTTGAACTGTGCAAACCCTCTACTTCAAAATGACAGTTATTATTTTTTGCGAATTTTTGCGATTTTTTTTATTTTCAGTAGAAAGCGTTGCTATATCTAATAGCATTTTATACCAACAATGGGTAACTTGCGGCAAGAATCAAAATCCTTAAATGGTAATGGAAACAATTCAAGTTTACTTAATACTAGAAAATTGTTCTGCTAACATAAAAAAAATTCTGGGAGTGCAGCAACAAGTGGGACCCTGGAAATAACGTCATGACGCGCAAACATCCTCGTCTAGTTATTAGTTCTTAATTTTCGAATTTTTGAAAATTTTAACATTTTTAATGATAAATGTACCATCTTTATAATTTATTTATCTACAAGAATATTATTCTTTTTGACAAATAAATTCACCCAAGGTTTTTCAATTAAACATTATATTTTTTTTTTGTGTTTCACCCTGTACAATAGGAACTATTTTCTTTTGTTCAAATATTCTACATCTGGGTTGTCGACTAGAATGTTTATGTATAAATAAAAACATTCGCATTAATTAATTCAACTTTGTATTCAAGATATGAATTTTGTCCCAATTCCCGTATGAGACGCAACACTGTGCGGCGTCCAGGCAAACATTTTCAGAGATATCGACAATACCACCGCTGTGTCCACATGTTCTAACTACCCATTCTTGAGCCTGATCAGGATCAACTTGCCTGAAGGTGTTTTCAGATCGAAAAACTGCAAAATAATCTTTAAAGGAAGCATTTTCGATTCTAGGACTCAACTGGTGCATGTCGGAGATATATTCAACCAGAAACCGCACATACATAATTCTCATGGTCATAGACAGACATGTACTGAGAAATTTCAGTAAGGGATTGGTGATGCAGTAGACAGTCACCATCTCGTATTGTGTTTGCGACCATGAAAAGCATTGTGACGATATCCGGAACTAACAATAAAAAAATGTATCGCGGTCTTCTGACCTATGGTCACAAACTCTGACGCCATATCAGGAGTCTTTCCACGCATGCAGTAAATGAGCTGAGACGTGAAAATGCGCCATATTGCCTGATATATTATGTAACTTTACAGGCTCACAAGCTAAATGACCGCAAGTTCAATTTCCGATCCGAATACCTGGTTTCTTTGAAATATAGGCATACTGAAATTCATCCTGTTACAGATGTTAAAATTCTTGGATCTCGAGGTGTAATTTCATTGAAAAAGCAGAGCCCAAGTTTCACTGTTGGAGATTTTCATGGAAACGCCCCATACTAGCGGACATCTTGAACTACAGGCTTGCGGTGTGTCACATGACCAGGAAATTGTAATATGCGGTGTCGAAAATCCCCGATGAGCCCCAAACCCCGTCTATTAGTTCATCAATATTTCAAATTTGCCGCCACATTAGTCACCATCTTGAATTACGGGCGTCCGGTCCAATAGGGTACTTGCATGAAAAATTAAATTGATTATTGTTTATTGCAAACTGTACGAAATCGAAAAAAAATCGATGTGTGTTTTTTTATTTTGTCCAAATATGATTATTTCGGAAGTTATACAAATATTGAGTTTTGTATATATAGATATACTGAGCATGTGCGACGTCACAACTCACAACGCATTATACCTAAGTTATGACGTCGGAAGGACATTTCAAAGCGTTGTATCTCCGTTAATTTTTGACTAACAAGAAAAAGAAAAAACACGTGTTGACTTATTTTTCATGGACTATCGGAATCAGCAATAAAAAAATTTGATGCAAGGAGCCTATTCTTAGCATTTTCGAATTAGGTGGGATCAAAAATGCCCACTAATGCCTTCCGAGAACGAACAAATACACACTGTGAAAGTACTTGTTTGTATAAAATCATGAATAAAATGTAAGTACCTATCTATCTAGCTATCAGATCAGGAAATTTCGTGTCTCGATTTAGGTCAATAAAAAAAAAAAGTGGGGATACGGTGAATATTTATTTTCAGAAAAACTTTCTCAGAAGCTTTCACAATATTTTTGTTGCTCCTTCAGTTAGCGCTAAAATATATTTATGTAGTATTTAAAAAAAAAACTTACAATATGAGTTAGGAATGATCGGATAGACAGCGTTGAACATAGTTAATAGTGTATACACTTGCGTGCATAGAAATCGGCCCACTGCTGACTATCTGTCAAATCTGCAAAAATATATTTTTAGAGGAAATCGAAGAAAATGCCATAAAATAAAAACTTTGAGGGCGTCTGACACCCTTTTTTGTGAGTTTTTGCAGCGACTTAGACGTCTGACAATTTACATACGTTATCTGTGACCTTCAAACAGGTAATGTGCAAATTTTCTTCCAGAGGTATGATCATTTTTTGAGATTTTTTTTTTTCATTTTTGCAGGGTTTTCGAGCAAAATCCGTGCAGATGGGACTTCCTGATGGTTCCCCCAACCACTTCACAAAATTCCAGCCATAGGTATTATCGTAGTACCTTCGCGGCCGCCAGCTCTGAGTCTATAATTAATCATGCAAACTTTAAACATCAAACACTTGAAAACAAATCAATATGAAACACTAAGCAAGTTGCAATTTCAAAGACAATAATAAACAAGCCTGTCGTTCTTGTTAAACCACAACATAAATAGCATTCATTTGTTTATCGGTTGGGAAACAGTTTCTAAAATAAAAAGTCAAAAGTTAGCAATGGGCCGATTTCTATGCACGCAAGTTGACATACAATAATTGTACTACTATGAGAACATAGAAAAACAATAACAAATAAACACATAAATACAATATTGAACAAATTTAATCAAAACAGATATTACTGACATTTCTAAGTCACTTCTCCAGTGTTATAACATAAAGTACTTTTGTTATCATCCTTTCTTATTAATAAAAGATCTAAGAATAGAGTGGTTACTTTCTTTTTCTATTGTAAATTGTAATCTTGGGTGAAAGCTATTATAAGCTGAGCATTCTGAACATAGTAGACAGCATAGTTTTGATTTTAACGACGTAGCAATTCTGGGAAAGCAAAACAAGTATAGAAAACGGCTTGTCGGGGAAATTGAAAAACATCCTAATAATATTAATAAAAGACAGGACGTAGAAAAGTTGAGTATACTTTTCAATAACATTTTAAACTCCCAAATCCTGTTTAAATATTGATTTCTGTTTGTTTGTTGGTGTCTTTATCTGCGCGGCATACCAACCTTTTTGTTCCTGATTGAAATCGCATCGATATCAGCATGGCAGGCTGTTGTAATAATAAGAGCCAGACCCAAATTTTAAATAATAATTACCGTTCTTAACTGTCTATCTAGTGTTGTTTATATAATAAATTGCTTGGCTTGCGACAAAAATGATATTGGTCAATCAACGAGAAATTTTGAGTCGCGTATAAATTTCACATAAAAGAGAATCAAATCACATTTTAATCAAGTTATCACCTAACCCCTATCTCCTAGCCCCATTTCAAAAGAATCATGGGTTGGTTCTGGGGGGTAGGGAGATGAAGGGACAGAAACGCACGGTACATGCAACCGTATATGTCATAACATGCCTCCTCAATATTAAACTTGACGTGTCCGGCCGGTTTCCGCTAGAAAATTTATTTTCAAAGATTTTTAGGGTGGACTGTTTTCCCTGGGACACCCTGTACTGTATTTTGATTGTAACTGAAGCTGAAGACGCAAAATAAATATTACGAAAGCTTTTACAGAAACAAGAAATTTTCTGGCAACAAACATTGACCGTATTCCCACTATTCATTCTTTTATTATCCATCTATCTATCTATCTACCGACGCAAAAGACCTTTTATAAATATCAGAATCAATAATTTCAAATAGGTAAGTACTCTAAAACGAGATAAAAGGAATTTACTGGGGACTTTACTAAGAAAACGGGTAAAATCTAGAATAAATGTTTTTAACTAGGAAAACTTTCCCTCGGAATAAAATTGTGGTGGATTTTATATGTTTACTCCATTAATTGCCTACCACAACTAAAGTTTAAAATTCCTCTTTGGTAACGCTCTAATTAATCAAATTTATAGCACTGAATGAATATAACGAGAATAATATTTAGGCTGAGAAAGCTTCCCGACTTAGGTACCTACCTAGACAAATTAGATATTTTGTTCTGACAAAATATTTGGAATGAAAAGTATTTCACATGACTTATCGCATAAAGTCGCGTACAGACCGAATTTCCAACGTAGACCAACGCCAACGGCGCATGTGCTATCGTTGGCGTTGGAATTGAAAAGCATTGAAAAGGATTTGAGAACATCGTACAAATCGCCGTACATACCAAAGCCAACGCGTTCCAACATAGTTCACATGTGGAGTTGACTAGCGTTGGAAATTCGGTCTGTACGCGGCTTAAGCCTTGTCTTGCCTTTGAATGTCATATGTTTGACAGCTATCGTTAAGAAATCAAATAATAAGTTATGAGGAAAAACGGGCTACTAAAAACAAAACAACATCGACAGGTCCATTTTTTGCAAAGACAAAAGATAACTAATTTTTCAGGTTCGGACTTTATTAAAAGGCCCAATCATCTTGACGAATTTTTGAGCCAAAACAAAACGGATTTTTAAAATGAAAGGTATAGACTACTTTTTGAATAATTGACATGTTATAATTATCAGAGAAGAGATTTTCTGTCGCATCTGTGGCACGAGGCTAGAGAGAGCGTATTCTCGTCTCTCTCCTCGTCGCAATCGTGGCATCACTACTATTTGAGCCTGGAATCACATTTTTTCTCCTTTCTTTCATTGAAAAATGGCATGTTGAGTGCAATGGCGGAGAATTTGATGTAAAACTCCGCCCGACACTTATCCCATTAAATTTCCTTTTTCCTTGCAAGTTTATGTTTTATTTATCATATGATCGCCATGTTCGATTTGCATGAGATTCTTTATAAGAACATTTCACAATATGAATTTCATATTTCACTTTATTTTCCATTGCGGGAAACCACGGAGAAGTCGATACATTTCCACGAGACTTTGAAGTATTCGATTCATTCGTCTCAACTTCTATTTAGTATAGGTACGGCATGCAGCGTAAAATTGTCCAAAAGCACATAGCTCTTGTGCAAGAGAAAATTACATTTTCTTTTTCATCGTTATGGGTAACGTCGGACCCTCTATAACACAACCACCACCTGAAAAAAAATGATTCTTATGTGAATTGACCTAAAGGATCCGATTCTAGAGTTCGCCAATTGCGAAGCTGGTCAAAACCCGCATTTTCCAAAAAATCTTAAATTGTATGGACTTGTTAGTGACTCGCCCATTTGGATCTGCCAAGTTGTGGAAAACATCACAATACTGCACAAATGGTTTGACGTCATCGGTTGACACATCACAGTAAACACCTTGATGGTCTGCTCCATAGGTGAGTTTCTGGAGCTCAAGTGAAGTTTGGCTGTTTGTTAAAAAAACTCTCAGCGCATCATCGACTACTATTGTCTTGGCCAGCTCATTACAGTCAATTTCTGTCAGGAATCTGACGACGTCGATTCTAGGATGAGGCCGGCAAGATACTCTAGGTTGGTTGTAAATTGGTTGATATAGCTGAGTTATCTTGGTGAAGCTTTGTCTGCACGTTTTTGAAAAGCTAAGATGAGACGCTCATGGTCGGTCCTAATAGTGAATTCTCGGCACTCAACCTATTGCTGGATATATTTTACAGCTCCAAAGACGACAATGTGCTCTCTGTCGTATGGGTTGTAGTTCTTCCGAGCAAGCGAAACAAATTTTTTACTGTACTTGCCGCATCAGTGGTGAGATGGACTTCGGCTCCGATCACTAGGTGAGAGGGTAGAGTCGCGTTAGCTAGTTGCTGCTCTACTTCAGCAAATGCTGCTTCTGGCTCTTGTGTTCATAGATTTGCTTTTTTTGTCATTTTTTTTGGATTCTTTCAGTAATTCGTTCAGTCGTACTTGCGATTCAGCCGCTCCTTTGACGTGTCTCCTATAGAAATTCGTCCCAGGTCTATGATTGTTGAGGGATTTGTATAATCGAGGAGAGCTTGAACAGGGTGACAATGGTGATGATCCTTCGGCAGTGATTTGATATCCAAAGAAATCCACACTTGATCGACCAAACACACACTTCTCTGCGTTGGTAGATAGTCATTCACAAAGGCATAATCGAAGTCAAGTTGGCTTATTACATACTTTATTTATTAACCGTTGATCTGACTCTACGTCTCTGTGTTATGGCATCTTGTATTTGAATGTCCATTTTTTAGGTCTACAGTCCGAATTTGTGAATGAGATCTGCTCTTATGATAGGGTATGGTACATTGGAAATGCAGAATACCCAATAGAGTGAACGACGTATTTCGACGTTTAGATAAATCGCACACCCTCCATAGCTTTGCACTCCAGTATTATTTGCAGCATACAGTTTGCATTGTTTGGCCCCTGTCCGCTGGTCTTGCTGGAACCACAGAAATGTCCGCACCAGTGTCGACTAAGAACTGGGTTCCTGAGATGCGATCATGGATAAATAATCGGCGAGGGGTATGTGGACCGCCAGCGGTCGCTGTCGTTCTCGATTTCATCCGCATGGAGTTGTGCATTTGGTGCCAAATCTGCGGTGATTATAGCAGACCACTGTGGTTCCATTTGTCTCAACTTCAGAATTGATGCGAGAACTGTAGCGGTCTAGATGTCTCCTCCACTATATAATAATATTTTATAAATTTAATTGTTGCCTGGAATGCTGACAGTCTGTTGAAGGTAATGTAGCCATGTTGCTGTATCAATCTGGAAGACGCGCTTTTGTTTTGAATTTGAAGTATCACGTCTGGGCCGGATGTGCCCGTAATGGTAGCCATCTTACTACTGTTAGAGTCTCAAAATTTTACCGCTGTTGAAAAACTAAATTGTTATTTCCGTGCAGAAAGTAGGTATCCGCGAGAAATTATATAATATCTTAGTAATAGTTCAACTGTCTCTAGTTTTAAGACGACCGTTTATATAGGAAAAGAAATATGTAAATACAAAATACATTGTTAAAAAAAATAGTTTATATGTATATATTTTATCATGATATTCCAATTTTTACAGGGAAAGGGCAAAGTAGTTACATACTGGCTCAACGGCGAAAAAAAGAATAATGTATTCCGAGGAGACGATGTTTTATCTCCTCAGCATGTTGCAGTTAATCCACGGCCAAGTACGCCACGTCCTCGAAGCATTACGGATCTTGATCTTCCACCTGCAGTGATTGATTTAAGGCGAGGTCTCGACGAATATGACTTTATTTCTGAAACGCCAGGACCTAAAAAAATTAACCATATTAAAGGCACCGAGCAAGATCAGTTAGTACCGCAACAAACCCCAAAGTTATTGAAACCTCGAGCTGATGAATCGGAGGTTCCTCTACTCTCAATCACACAACCTCCATTTGATAATAATTCATAATATGTACCTATTTCAATGTTTAGTGTTGCTCAATGTTGCCTACGAGGTGGAATGACCTTAGTTGTCAAATTTCAACATGCTTAAACTGCCTTATGTGTGTTTTTTTCTGTATAAATGTGAGCTTTATAAATAATTCTCCATGAGCTTGTAAAAATATCTTTTAAAAATATCTCTGTTTTTCTCTCCAAATACTTATATATCTATGAAAAGTAATATGTCCCCCAGAACCCCTTGGGTTTGGTTATTCTTGTTGAGTTTTATAAATTTTACGAAAAATATTTATTTGGTGCCCCTGATATTGATTCTGGTTATGGAAGACTAATCTGGGGGGTATCCAAATAAGCTACTTGAATTTTGGCGACGTTTCGGATAAGTATTTGTGTCTCCCTTTTCAAGCCTCAGATTAATGTCTCCCAAGCCCTACAGTCATCAAAAAAGCACATTTATTTATGATTTAAAAGTTTTTATGGGGGATTTAGGTTTTCTTTTCAATATTTTCTTATTTAATTATTTGATGAACAAAAAATTATTAAATTAGAAAACTCTTTACCTATGTTTGACGGCATATTTTCCCGTCCCCTTCAAATGCTACTGCTAGAGTACCTTTTAAATACAATAAATACCTGATGTCCGTTTATTATAGAGTTATTATGAATATTAGATAAATATTTATTTTTATTAACACATATAAAACAAATAATTTAGAGCACGTTTCAAATAAAAGCGCTTTATTAAAGTTTCTTGTTTTTTAAAAATTATATTTTGGTAAAAGCTTTAGCTGTTTTAATGTCACCAGGTTGGCTAAAGATTGTAAAGGTTATTCAATTAAAAAAAAATATATCAGAAAATAAAACGTTTCTAAGTGACTCTAGAATATTAAATTGTTGTGAGCTAAGTTTTGAATGAAAACCAAAGTATTATTCAGTTAACGTTAACGCAACTTTGGCCTGACGCCATGAGTATCGGCGTATCGGTTATGGCTTAACGTTTTCTGGAGAATACAAACACAAATTATTGCACCAAGAGCATCCAAGCTTTCGTATTGATACAATACCTTCCTATAGATGTCACCGTTTTCACAGCATGAGATTTTATTGAATAGACCTATAAGAATTTTATACAAATTACCTTAGATAGATAGTTTTTAATTCTATTTTCTATACAATAATATTTTTTTGATCATTTCACCATTATTTTTTTATATTCAATTTATTTTTATATAACTTATACCTTTCGCACAATGACATTTAGCTTAGAAATTGTGCTTTTATAAGTCGAATAAAAGTCGCTTAATGAAAAGAACCATATTTAATCTGATGTACCTACCTTTTGCTTAGAAAATCTGTAAGTAACTTGAAATATATATTTATCCAAAAAAAAAACATACCTATACCTATGTATAATTTTCAAATAAAATAGGTCCATATCCTGTCATTTTTGTGCCTATTTCCATACATAATTGAACTGTGAGAAAAATATAAAATGTGCGTAAAATAAAAAATTATAATCGTCTTTCCGATTTATTTTCTTCCCTACATTTTCCTTTTTCTTCCTAAGCATTACAATTTGTAGATTATCGAACCATTTAAAATATAATTTGCAGACACAAATCAAATTGGTGCATTTTTTGTAAGGTTTTCTTGTGAATATACAGGGTGTTTGGCGGAGAGTTAGCCAAACTTGGTGGGTGTATAAATGCCCATTTTGAAACGTGTGTGAAGACAGCAGATGACAGAGCCGAAGGTAGCCGATTGTAGATACACTGCCCAACCTAGTCTCAAAGTCCACCTAATATTTTAATGATTTTTTATTTGAAAATATCTCATTTTATTAGGATGATTAAAGACTTTTTTGGTTATTATAAAAGTATTCGACCAAACGCCTACCCTTGGCCTAGCAAATGGAACAAAAAATTATCCGTACTTCTTGAACCATGGGATTATACATCAAAGTGAGAGTGATTTTTAGCTGCCATGTGAGTGGGTAATAACCCCCTACCCTTGGTTTGGACTCGCAAGCCGTAGGGGATGAAATATGATTTTTTAATTCCTAGCAGATGAGGACAGAAATAAATTCGTAATTTTAAAACCATGGGATTGTACACCAAAGTGAGGGTGGTTTTTAGTTGTTATGTGCGTGGGTAATAACCCCCTACCCTTGGTTTGGACTCGCAAGCCGTAGGGGATGAAATATGATTTTTTTAATTCCTAGCAGATGAAGACAGAAATAAATTCGTAACTCTAAAACCGTGGGATTGTACACCAAAGTGAGGGTGGTTTTTAGTTGCTATGTGAGTGGGTAATAACCCCCTACCCTTGGTTTGGACTCGCAAGCCGTAGGGGATGAAATATGATTTTTTTAATTCCTAGCAGATGAGGACAGAAATAAATTCGTAATTTTAAAACCATGGGATTGTACACCGAAGTGAGGGTGGTTTTTAGTTGCTATGTGAGTGGGTAATAACCCCCTACCCTTGGTTTGGACTCGCAAGCCGTAGGGGATGAAATATGATTTTTTCAATTCCTAGCAGATGAAGACAGAAATAAATTCGTGACTCTAAAACCATGGGATTGTACACCAAAGTGAGGGTGGTTTTTAATTGCTATGTGAGTGGGTAATAACCCCCTACCCTTGGTTTGGACTCGCAAGCCGTAGGGGATGAAATATAATTTTTTTAATTCCTAGCAGATGAGGACAGAAATAAATTCGTAATTTTAAAACCATGGGATTGTACACCAAAGTGAGGGTGGTTTTTAGTTGCTATGTGAGTGGGTAATAACCCCCTACCCTTGGTTTGGACTCGCAAGCCGTAGGGGATGAAATATGATTTTTTCAATTCCTAGCAGATGAAGACAGAAATAAATTCGTGACTCTAAAACCATGGGATTGTACACCAAAGTGAGGGTGGTTTTTAATTGCTATGTGAGTGGGTAATAACCCCCTACCCTTGGTTTGGACTCGCAAGCCGTAGGGGATGAAATATAATTTTTTTAATTCCTAGCAGATGAGGACAGAAATAAATTCGTAATTTTAAAACCATGGGATTGTACACCAAAGTGAGGGTGGTTTTTAGTTGCTATGTGAGTGGGTAATAACCCCCTACCCTTGGTTTGGACTCGCAAGCCGTAGGGGATGAAATATGATTTTTTTAATTCCTAGCAGATGAGGACAGAAATAAATTCGTAATTTTAAAACCATGGGATTGTACACCAAAGTTAGGGTGGTTTTTAGTTGCTATGTGAGTGGGTAATAACCCCCTACCCTTGGTTTGGACTCGCATGCCGTAGGGGATGAAATATGATTTTTTCAATTCCTAGCAGATGAAGACAGAAATAAATTCGTGACTCTAAAACCATGGGATTGTACACCAAAGTGAGGGTGGTTTTTAATTGCTATGTGAGTGGGTAATAACCCCCTACCCTTGGTTTAGACTCGCAAGCCGTAGGGGATGAAATATATTTTTTTTTAATTCCTAGCAGATGAGGACAGAAATAAATTCGTAATTTTAAAACCATGGGATTGTACACCAAAGTTAGGGTGGTTTTTAGTTGCTATGTGAGTGGGTAATAACCCCCTACCCTTGGTTTGGACTCGCAAGCCGTAGGGGATGAAATATGATTTTTTTAATTCCTAGCAGATGAGGACAGAAATAAATTCGTAATTTTAAAACCATGGGATTGTACACCCAAGTGAGGGTGGTTTTAAGTTGATATGTGAGTGGGTAATAACCCCCTACTCTTGGTTTGGACTCGCAAGCCGTAGGGGATGAAATATGATTTTTTTTTAATTCCTAGCAGATGAGGACAGAAATAAATTCGTAATTTTAAAACCATGGGATTGTACACCAAAGTGAGGGTGGTTTTTAGATGCTATGTGAGTGGGTAATAACCTCCTACCCTTGGTTTGGACTCGCAAGCCGTAGGGGATGAAATATGATTTTTTCAATTCCTAGCAGATGAAGACAGAAATAAATTCGTAACTCTAAAACCATGGGATTGTACACCAAAGTGAGGGTGGTTTTTAGTTGCTATGTGGGTTGGTAATAACCACCTACCATTCATTGGTTTGAACTCGCAGGCCGAAGGGCGTAGGGGATGATTTTTTCAATAATTACTAGTACATGTAGATGAACATTTAAAAAAATCTTTATTTCATTAAAATCTTAGTGGGCACCTGTAGTTGCATGTTCAATTAATTAACAATAATAATAATAATGAATGGAAGGAAATTTATTTGCGAAAAAAAAATACCTTCATTTTGTTTACAAAAAGGCATAAATTACAATATTTTTGAAAAATTGGTTTGCCTAATCTGTTCTTAAGAAGAAAGAGATGAGTTTTACAATGAGTATCTTAGTACTTATTTTACAACAAAAATAAAGAGTCATTTACAAAGTGTCATTTAAAACTAAAAATGTATTGAGAATTCTCGTGACGTGAGAGTAATAATCGGAAGGGATTCATTTGAAATGTTGGGACATTAAGGACTCAATGTTGCTGGAAACCTGGTTGCAAATTTTTGAGGCTTGGTAACCTAAATGTTTTTTGAATAATTTAGTCGTTGATTGAATAGTGATGTTTAGCGTATTATGACTATGTCTTAATTTGACGGGATATGACACTAGATGGAGCTCCATTTTATTGTGAACCTACATGGGTTTTTCTGTCTTTATCACCTTATGGTTTAGGCAACACAGGTGAATTCATCTACGCTCCCTCATATATTAAAGCCGTTCATACTTTTGATGATGATATGGACTTATGTTGATAATTAACGAGCAAATCTTACGCAGGAATTCTGAAATTTTTGGAATATTTCATAGCAACTAAAAACCAGCCTCACTTTGGTGTACAATCCCATGGTTTTAGAATTACGAATTTATTTCTGTCCCCATCTGCTAGGAATTAAAAAAATCATATTTCATCCCCTACGGCTTGCGAGTCCAAACCAAGGGTAGGGGTTTATTACCCACTCATAAAGCAACTAAAAACCACCCTCATTTTGGTGTACAATCCCATGGTTTTAGAGTTACGAATTTATTTCTGTCCCCATCTGCTAGGAATTGAAAAAATCATATTTCATCCACTACGGCTTGCGAGTCCAAACCAAGGGTAGGGGGTTACTACCCACTCACATAGCAACTAAAAACCACCCTCACTTTGGTGTACAATCCCATGGTTTTAGAATTACGAACTTATTTCTGTCCCCATCTGCTAGGAATTTAAAAAAATCATATTTCATCCCCTACGGCTTGCGAGTCCAAACCAAGGGTAGGGGTTATTACCCACTCACATAGCAACTAAAAACCACCCTCACTTTGGTGTACAATCCCATGGTTTTAGAGTTACGAATTTATTTCTGTCTTCATCTGCTAGGAATTTAAAAAAATCATATTTCATCCCCTACGGCTTGCGAGTCCAAACCAAGGGTAGGGGGTTATTACCCACTCACATAGCAATTAAAAACCACCCTCACTTTGGTGTACAATCCCATGGTTTTAGAGTTACGAATTTATTTCTGTCTTAATCTGCTAGGAATTGAAAAAATCATATTCCATCCCCTACGGCTTGCGAGTCCAAACCAAGGGTAGGGGGTTATTACCCACTCACATAGCAACTAAAAACCACCCTCACTTTGGTGTACAATCCCATGGTTTTAAAATTACGAATTTATTTCTGTCCTCATCTGCTAGGAATTAAAAAAATCATATTTCACCCCCTACTGCTTGCGAGTCCAAACCAAGGGTAGGGGGTTATTACCCACTCACATAGCAACTAAAAACCACCCTCACTTTGGTGTACAATCCCATGGTTTTAGAATTACGAACTTATTTCTGTCCCCATCTGCTAGGAATTTAAAAAAATCATATTTCATCCCCTACGGCTTGCGAGTCCAAACCAAGGGTAGGAGGTTATTACCTACTCACATAGCAACTAAAAACCACCCTCACTTTGGTGTACAATCCCATGGTTTTAGAGTTACGAATTTATTTCTGTCTTCATCTGCTAGGAATTGAAAAAATCATATTTCATCCCCTACGGCTTGCGAGTCCAAACCAAGGATAGGGGGTTATTACCCACTCACATAGCAACTAAAAACCACCCTCACTTTGGCGTACAATCCCATGGTTTTAGAATTACGAATTTATTTCTGTCGCCATCTGCTAGGAATTAAAAAATCATATTTCATCCCCTACGGCTTGCGAGTACAAACCAATGGTAGGGGGTTATTACCCACTCACGTAGCAACTAAAAACCACCCTCACTTTGATATATAATTCCATGGTTCAAGAACTAAGGATAATTTTTTGTTTCATTTGATAGGCCAAGGGTAGGCGTTTGATCAAATACTTTTATAAAAACCAGAAAAGTCTTTTATCATCCTAATAAAATTAGATATTTTCAAATAAAAAATCATTAAAATATCAGGTGCGGACTATGAGACTAGGTTGGGCAGTGTATCTACGATCGGCTACCTTCGGCTCTGTCATCTGCTATCTTTCGTCTGCTGTCTTCACACACGTTAAATTGAGTGCATATTCGATTATATAAATAAATTATTGAGATTATTAATTCCTGATTGAATTGAAAATTCCTATTTTACGAAAAATTTTAATAGTTTTTGTATATACTCTCTCTGCAATTGAATCTATATATATAAAACACAGTTGTGTTGGTTCTAGCACTTATAACTCGAGAACGGCTGGACTGATTTTTATGATTTTTGCTTCATTGGATTTGTCTTTGTCCCTAATAGCATAATAAATCGAAAAAATCCAAAAAAAAAAAACAAAATTACCTATTTTACTTATTTATGAAAAAAATTCACTGAGCCCGCATGCGGCGCCATCTCTTATAACCGATACCAAGTTTGCCGCCACATTTTCATTGCAAACCATTTTGTATACGGCGTCATCTCTAATACCTAGAACGAAGCTCGCCGTTGCGCGGTAATTTCATTGCAGATACAGTAGAAAAATGCTGCTCAGGAACTGGAGCTATTCCGAACAGAACTATTCCACTATTCCGATGAGATAGAGTGGTGCAGAAAGAGTAGATCAGATAGAATAGTGCAGATAGAGTAGAACAGATGGAGTAGTGCAGTGCAGATAGAGTGAAACAGGAATGCTCTGGAGATTTTTTTTGTTTTCTTTACATTCTTTAAACATTCCTGTGCCTGAGTTTATTTATTTGGTGGTACACTTTATAAGAATAATGCCCACAAGCTGCCTAAGAAGGGATGATGTAAAATTTTAATTTTAGGTGACTTCTGATCCAGAGAGTAAAGATTAATTTTCTTCAACCAAAGCCAAATTCACTATCGAAAATAACTGAATTTAATTCAGCTAATAGGTACGTTAACACAATATTTAATAGGTATTTAATCATTCAGAGGCGGTACGAAGTTCGCCGGGTCAGCTAGTACACCATAATTGATAAATTTGAGGTTCGATTATTTTTGAAACACTTCAACCATCTATCTAGCCACTACCTGGCATATCTCAATGTGGAGCAAAAATCCGATAACTGTTTACTCACTAAAACGAGCCTGAAGAATTAGCAAAAACAGCGAATTCTTTTGAAGGTATTTATTTCAATAACGTCAAATTAAAATTAGATCGATTTTTGTATTTTTCGTCAAATGTATTATTTTGGTAGGTATTTCAAAATTTCAAAGCTCGATATTTTCTTAACAAGTGGATTGATTTTGAGAAACTAAGTAGCAATGTATAGGGAATTGAAAGCCCTCTGAAGTATCATTCGAGCCCATTGCTATTTGAAAAAATTTGGGGGATGACACCTCCAATTAGAGGGTTGAAGCTATTACTATGCTTTTTGCGTTCTTAGCTTTTGTCGGAAAGATCTTTCTCAGCATGTAATGCCTTATGGTACGATTTCGATGGGCGACCCTGTATAAATCAAAATATTCTCCCAAAAATTTCTGTTTTTTTTTCCGTAAAAGTCAAACTGCAAAAATTGAAGGCAACAAATTTTTAAATTTTCATTCAGGGACATTACTCTATTGGCTGACTTACTTACGTCGAAATTTCTTGGAAGGTTTTTTTTTGAATTTGATCAATCAGAAATAACCAAAATCAATCAATTTTGAGTTAAGAGTCGGATGATTTCTCAAAAGGTTTGAAAAAAAAAACTGTTATCACTAGAAGTACACAATCATAGTTCTGCATACCTAATTAAAATAGTTTATTTTGATACAAATAATAAGCATAAGTGGATGCAGGGCCCTTATATTATTTCATACTCTAGCAATTGTATGCTTAATAATCCACGGAATATATTTATTAACTCTGGCATAAATACCAGGACTTCCTTTGTTTCCACATTCAATACCCCAAGATACCACTCCTATGGTGACCCAACGGCCATTTTCAAGTTGATACAATAATGGTCCTCCGGAATCACCCTGAAATGTGAAATAGAATACAGTTAATATAGAAATAAAAATGGTAGTAGGAGTAGGTACCAAACGACTCAGTTATGGTTTGACACGGATTTAGTTCTGGCTAGAATTTTTTTCACAAGGTTCATCACTTTATTTGATTACGGCAAATTCAAAAGTCTCTGCGCAACCCGGGGACTGAAGGGTTATTCAACCCTGCAAAATTGTGAAAAAAAAATTATTTGAATATGTATATCGAATTTAAAGCGTAGTCCGTAATTCGATTTTTTTTTCAACGAAATTTGCAGAGTAGATAGGTGATGGAGTTTATTTTACTTTCAATCGATACTGTTACAAAGTTCACGTGAGAAGTTGGGTTTTGTTCTCAGTGTACTAATAAATCTATATTCCTTTCGCGCCTTTTTGATTAGGAACCTATTGGCAAAGGTATGATTTTTTTCAGAAAACTGTAATTTTTGTTAAATTTTTCAAGAGTCATCACTGTATGAATATGAAACCTTAATGAGAAGCAGAATATCAGGAAACTAGGAAAAAATTTGAAACAATAACAATCTTGATAAACACATTTAAATGAAAACCAGTATCAAGATAATGAGAAGCAGTTTATCAGAAAACTAGGAAAACATTTGAAACTATCGAAAACAATCTCGAGAAAGCGGAAAAAGGAATCGGGGGTAGTTTTTCTGAAGAAAATACATATACATATGTATGGTAGAGAATCTTACTTGTGAGATATCAGGGTAAATGAAAAAGAAGTGAGTGTCGAGAGGAGCAATCGTAAAAAATTGATGTACTTGAGATTATATTGTGGCGTGGTAACCAATTAACAAGGAGCAGAAAAATTATTTTTATTAAAGCGAATTTACTCGGGAATTTAGCAATATATATTTTTTTCAAAATTAGGACTGTCATAGCATGGATTAGGATTTTCATGTAGCAGATAATAGAGTTTAATATTCAGGAAGTAGTTCAAGCATTACATTTTAGAATAGGTACTCTCAAGAAATTTCATCAAATTATTACATTTCTTGAGAGATTTTTTCAGTTTTCATTGCAAATGCATGCTTTACCACAATTCTAACTCACTTGGCACGAGTCCTTGCCTCCTTCATATGCTGCAGCGCAAATATTATTTTCAGTTATTCGTTGTAAAAAGCTATCAGCACATTTTTCCTGTTCCCATACTGGTATCGCCACTTGTAGCAGAACCGGGGAAGTCGGTCCAGCGTATTCCTGCTGACCCCATCCTGCAACTACGACGGTTTCGTTTACAAAGGTTTCACCTAAGAAGAAATCCAGTTAATTTTGTTTATGATATCGCATTTTTAAAGATTTTTCACCTGTGGGAGGTAGGCAAACAGGCCAAATGTATGAATTAAACGACGTAGGTTGAGCCAACGTTATAATTGCAATATCATTTTCGTATGTAGATACAACAAAATCTTCATGATTTTTAATCTCAGCAACAGCTAAATCTTGAGAACGGGTCTCATTGTACTTGGTGAAATCGTATTCTCCCAATCTTACACGAACTTCTTGTGGCGTCACTCTGGAAAAGAATTGGAAATTCAATATTATGTGTTAACCATCATGACATGAATCGGAAATAAAAAGCCCACTAACTCAGTTCAGCTTCAATTTTGCAAGACTATGCATAGTTGGTCCGCGCTGGTCTATAAAATCATTTTTGTCGTTATTGAAAAACAAAAATGTATTGGTCATCAAAACTGTAGTTAGTTTTAAAATAATAAATATTTATGTCATTAGGCCAAGAAAAGTGGATTTAACACAAAGACCTTCTGGGCCGTATGCCATACAACATTTTTATCTTCAAGGGACTGTAATGTTTCCTTTCACAGCTTAATCACTACTTTTTTTCATCCATTTTTGGAAAAATAAAAGGCTGCGATTGTTACTCAAATCAATAATCAATATTAAGGTCACTCGGAACATATTATTTGACTGCTCGGATTATCCGTATTTATCTATGCTCCTACTTCGTATTTTATGTATGGAATAATTTAATCCATAATATTGAAGAAATAATGCAAAACGAACAAATTATGCTCTTGGAGCTTATTTCAGAACTTGGTCATTGACACTGCCATCTAGCGAGAAGAAAATGCAAAATTATTTACGAGAACATAATAGCGCTGATTCAAGCCGCAGAAGGTTGTTGTAAAAACCTGTGACGTAAGTGCTATCGAAATCCTAAAAACTGCTGTTCTCAAGATATAAATTATTGTTATAGCTAAAAAAATTACCGCATTTATGCAAGAAATAATAAATAAGTATGCCAGGACACCAAAGTATCGAAAATAAATTAGAATTTATTATTGTTAGTCTTACATGGTGTCACGGTGTTGAAAATGCCCAAAAATTAACAAAGAAGTCGGTAAAATCAAGACCTCAAAATGCAGGCTCAAAATTTTCAATCATTATTAATTACACAGCAAAATGTTATTGGAATACGAATACAGAAAAGTCAGCAAAGTCTACGTGACAGACCTTGGAGAGCAACATTAGAGATGCTCCTAAGCCAGAAAAAGTATTGTTTGGAAAAGATGAATGGGAAAGTGTTACAGCACTTTGAAAGGTATCGAGCAGCAATAGAATTTCATCATATTAATCCACTTCATGTGTATAGAAAAGGATGTCGGAAAAATATTTGATCGTATGCACGCAATAGAAAAAGATTATTATAAGATATAATAAAGTAAATTATTATACGTATGAAAGTCTTATTGATGATTTTAATAGATATTTCGAAAAGACAGTTTATTTTATTTCGTGGTATGAACGGCCCAAATTTAATTTGAGAAACCAGATAGAAGAAGAAGAAACTTCTCAAAATTACATTCAAAAAAATATATAATTATGGTGTTTTGGAAAATGGAATAATAAGAGATCGTCTTGTGGTTGGAATTTTGGACACTTTCATATCCTCCAGATTCCTTGCGGCTGAATGCATCTTTGATGCCTGAATCAACGAAAATCAGTCAAACCGAGTGTGTGTATGACAACAAAACGTAGAACTAATAAGTAGGTTCCTATATAAAAAATAATATATACAAGTATCATATTTGTGGAAATCAATATGGTTAAATTTGTCCTTTATGCATAAATCTTACGTATTTAATTTAAAATTTAAATTTACATAAACAGTTCTTACCCTTGCAGACAATGCGCGGCTGTCAAAATATGTTTTTCTGTGATAAGAGTACCGCCACAAAATTGTTGCTCAGTACCTTGCTGATATTCTTTGGGATGATAAAGTGCTACCAACCAAGGCCATTGTTGAACAGTAGCTGATTGCATGGTGCCTATTGTGCGACCCTCTGCGGGAAGGCCACAGCCTAGAATATAAAAGCTTGTAGCTTTGTAAAGTCTTGCATTGTATTGAATCTACCTGTGACATTATTTTTGAGATCATAATCTTCACCTCCAGCTGGAAGGTCCATAACCAGCTGAGAGCCTATCATGCCACTTAAAGCTACGTCATCCGGACAACAGACACCAACATAACTGAAACAAGCACAATTTTAAAATTGATAGGTAACATTAGATGGGTTTTTCATTTAGTAAACTGGGAACTTAACTTGAATGTTGACGAAATAACAATATATAATTGTATCTATTGCACAACACACCAAATTTAATATGTTGTTAACAAAAAAGCTAGACGTACAATATACACAATAAAAAATATCCAATTATAAGAAAAAAAATACATATCATATCGGGTATGCTCACGAGATTATACCAAGCTCTAGCTAGAGTCAATGCAGAATTCCAGCATGAAAGCAATTGACTGTCACCTCCGGTTTGACCAGAAGTGTCATCAACTTCTTTATTTTATAAGCGTCACCCTATATAGGTAGGTATCATTACATTTTTGGAATTTACGGAAAATTCTAAACGCATTCCATCTAAAATGTCAGAGAGTAAATCAATTCTAACTTACTTCTGACAGAAAACTATTGAAAGTAGATTCAAAGTGATACGATATTTTTAAATTGTTTTTGAAGCAGTCAAGTCTCACAGTTCCGTGAATAGGCCCAGTTTCTGTGCTACAAAGTGTTTCCTAGGCCAAAAACTAGTACCGGAACAGAACCTTTGGAACCTCTATTCTCACCAACCTATCAAACAAGCGGGGTTGAGAAAAGGATGCAGTACAATCGACCATATTCAAACAGTGCGACCACTCATCGAAAAATGCATCAAATATAACAACCCTCTACATTTAACCTTGGTAGATTATCAAAAAGTCTTGGATTCCGTCGAAGTTTGGACCGTGCTCGAAGCAATGGACCAAGCACGTATATATTCAAGATACTCCTATCTCATTGAATCTATCTACGAGCGTGCCAATCTACATGTTAAAATGGACGAAGAAGGAGTTACTGGCAAAATTCCTGTTAAAAGAGAAGTCAGACAAGGTGACACCATCTCACCCAAACTGTTCACTCTTGCGCTCTCGCGCTAGAAAATATATTCAAAAGTCTATCGTGGGACTAAAAAGCTAAACGCTGATGATATTGTACTCTTTAGCAGCCACCCTGAAGAACTCAAATCGATGCTACAAGAACTTAAGTATGCCTCACAAGCAGCAGGTTTCAAAATGAACTTACAGATGACAAAAATTATGAGCCTTACAAACATAATTGCTACAATAGACAACCACACCCTCGAGTTAGTTGAAAACTATGAATATTTGGGACATAGTATAAAACTTGGAAGGGAAAACCAAACAGCCGAGATTTCTAGAAGGATGGGCTTAACATGAGCAGCCTTCGGAAAACTCAGCCACATTCTTCGAGAACCGCAAATCCCCATCAGACTTAAGCACGTGTATGATGCGTACATACTGCCAGTAGCAACATACGGCCTCAAAACTATGACGCTCACTAAAAACAGCAGAACCAACTTCAAGTATGCCAAAGAGCATTAGAGAGAGTAATGCTAAAAATCAGTCTCCGAGATAAAATTCGGAATGAAGAGATAAGGAGACATAAGTGGCAATGGGCGGGACATGTTGCGAGAAACTACGTGAAATGGACCAAAACGCTGCTCCAGTGGAGACTGAGACAATCAAAAAGAAGCGGTGGCAAGAGAGGACGATATGGTGGAAAATGGAAAAGGCCTATGGCCAGGAGTGGACGTATACAGGCTAAAAAGAAGAAGAAGAAGAAGAAGAAGATACAGATGGTTTTCAGCTTGTGTTCTGTTGGGGATGACTTGGTATGCTCGCGTCGTCAATGTCTCACAAAACACAAACACTCGTATTGCACATTCTCGCTGTGTCCAGAAGCGATACAACCTCAGGTAAATATTCCGATCATATAGGTAATTATAAAATTTAATTAATGTGAGGTTACTACGGTTAACCTGTCCCTAACCTAACAACCTCATCGTATTGCTGAATAAATTAAATGTTTGAGGTATTTATCATCTCTCTACCCTCCTTACGTTGGAGGATATTACTCCTTTATAAAAAAAAAAATATCAATACAAACTTGATTGATTGTGGAGGAAAATATAGATTAAAAAAATTCCGGCTGTCAAATTGACAAAGTTTGTGACCCAAAGAGCACACCACACCAACAATTGGATAATTTTAACGCAATAATGAAGTTAGGAAATCAATACCAAATACGCACAAAAGCTCAAAACCCCTAAAAACTTTAAAAAAATCATTTTTATATCTTTTTTTCAAATGAATCTGTTAATATACTTTTAATGAGCTGTAATGTCATTTCATCCAGGTTCATAAGAAACATAATTCTCAATATTGTAGAATAATAATTATTTGACCTTTTGTACCAATAGTAGTAGTAGTAGTAATTTGGAAGTGGGTTCAGGTATGGTATAATATATAACAGAACAGAGTCCGATAAATGTTATTTTGGCACTGACGGATACGCTGGTAGATGAGCTACCTTCTATCATCTACTTGCTATTAATATTGACAATATTTTTCATGGTGCATGCGACGGTGCAAATAGATCCCAGTATTTAATAACCAATAAAATAATTAACATCTATTTACCAGTTACAAAAATAATTATTTGAAGGAGGACATGATGACTGATAAATCGGTCCTTTTTGATCAACTTTATCGTAACAAACAATTTTAATGCCAAGAAAACTATAATACTCAATCGATTTTTCTAATATAAAAGACACCGCTATCGGTTTTGCTTGCGACATATCAACATATATTGTCCTTTATAGTTCACCACTATCTGAACTCGACGTTTTTACGTCTAAAATTTATTACAATGATAAAATTAATTAACTAATTGGCTTCCTAGTACCTACTTATGGTAGGTTAAAATGATGATTTCACTTACGTTCTTTCTATGACGCACAAATATTCCAATGTACTTCTAGTACCTGTCAAAATATCGATGGGGCAGAATGTTAAATGCTTACAATGGCCCTTGGCATCTCCAGGAGCGATACATTCTTGATATCTTTTGTTTAGCTAAAAATGTCATTTAGGGTACCTACTCTATACATCATTCTTATTGTTTCTCACCTTAAACTTTCTGCCTAAACCTAGATATCTTTTTCTTCTGATATGATCCCTATTTAAAAAGTCTTCAGCCACTTTTCCATCTTCTGGTAAGCTGTATCTATTGATTAAAATATTTCCGCCATCCAAACTTATGCCTAAAAATGTTACATTCAGATTTTGCTAGATATACAAAGATTAGGTATATATTTTCATATTTCCACTTACCGTCAGTTTTAATTGCAACATTCTCACACTCATTTACTAATTTTGCATAAACGATTAAGCAGAGTAAAAGTCGCATTTTTCAAATTGTAGACAAAACTAATTTATTTTCGCCAATACAACTCACAAGCAAGCCGGTTGATTTTTTTTTATCTGGTTCAGTATTACGTGGGTGACATCCTGCAAATCCTTGTGAAGCCGAAATGGACCTGTTAAGTTTGATAATAATTTCATGGTTGCATAAATTTGGATATTAGTGGAATAATAATGAAATAGTAATATAAAATTAAATTAAATAGACCAATACACAGTAATTTGAATCACTGAATACTAATTAAATTATAATTGTACGCGTTCACCCTCCTCAAGTCAAGTAAGATTTTTTTTTCAAATAGCGGTTTAAATTGCTTGAAGGAATTTTAAGACAAGACCAATAGGCACCTTCTATTCCGTTCTGTGTCTCTAGCAGTGACGTTGAATAACCTATGTTAGGTTGGTGAGAGTTAGCAGCCTATAAATTTATAAATCCTGATGTGAGTTTCATTTTTGTTATCGTCTTTAAAATTTCTGCGAGACATCTTTGTGCTCTCTGGGTAGTGTGAACCGGGCTTAATTAATTAAAAACTCATGAACTTCAATTAATGATCAAACCATCGAACCATCGCGGAATTACTTGATAAAGTCGCCCATTTTATTCATGATCATGACACCTTAAGAAATGGAAATGTAATTATCGAATGCAATGGCGTTAACCGAGAGACTTTCATCTGAAAAGGCCACCTTGAAAAAAAAAAAACAACTTCAATAGTTCCTCACGGATCAAATGCAATAAGCCTTATTAAAGAAAGGAAAAAAAACTTTCCCACGAACAGCTCCATAATAATATTCGGATAAAAGCTCAGACGATGAGTCCCGATCAGAGCCCATGAAATCAAAAAACCAAAAACAAAAGAATAGGGAACTTGACCATTTTTTTTTTAGTTTTTGTATTGATTCATCAAAACATTTGGAACTGATCTGTGCAAACAAAATTTGAATATCTTCAAAATGAACAAAGTTACAGGAGTAAAAAGACTAATACTATGGGACGTCATTCCGTAGTAGCGCCATAAGCCAGTGCCAGTAAGACAGAGACGGCAACATCATTTTCAAAAATTCATAAAGATTGTATCTTTGAATTGATTTGAAAAATTTGGCGAAAATGTCCTTATTCACATTTATTTGATTAAATGTAATATTTATTATTTCATGCAAGTTCCCTACTTTCTGAAACAAGCAAACCTTGACTCAAAAATCGAATTCATAGCCGTGAAATCACAAAGAAACCCATAACCCCAATTGACAACCACAAAACAGCCCAAAATATTCAGTAACTCGCACTAATCATAATTATAGACCTTACCTATGTAAATCTAAATTTAGCAATGACGCACTTTGTGTGATTTATAAACCCTTGTTTGGAACTGTTAGCCGCGAACAACTCCTTTTGGTCACATTTAAGTTCGTGTATTGAGTAAGCCTTCCTACGTAAGCGATCTCTGATGGCTTAGCCTAACACCAAGTTGATGATGTTCTTGAAAATCCGCTATGGTCCTTCTTACTGTCTTTTTAATTTCGGACGTTGTCCGTTTCTTCGCTGAGAATGAAATAACTAGATGACGTTGCCTTTATTGAAGGTGTTCAATGACTGCCGCTTGTCAATTCCTATCTTCAATATGTTACTCTAAGTCTGTGCTGAGGATCGGCGGATCGGCCACATAAACCGGAAGTACAGGCTCGCCTTGATCAACTAGTGGTCTGCCAAACATTAGACCTACGGGAACCCTCATTTCTCTCCCCAAACAACAACATAGCCGATGAAGCTTCCATAAACCAGAAGAAGAAGTGGCGCCAGTTTCGCTAATGTTCATTAACCAGAAACATTCAGAGCGGATGAAGAAAAGTCGTTCTCGTTTTCCATATTTTTAGTTGGATGTTTCAGAGCTACGCTGCGCGAAGGAAGGCCACTTCCAAGCACCAGAAAATTGATAAAATGTTATATCTGAGGTCGAGAAGGACATATAGGTAGAAGCTGTAGATGACGTTCCCATTCAGGAGACACGGCTTCAAACTCCAGTGTATAAACAACGGTTCCGGCTAAAATGTTATACCTACTCATTTCAAGCGCTTGCTTGCGGATATCTATATCTCTCACTCTATCTATGCAGCGCTGGATATTTATTTGTTATAAATTCTTTGGGTGTCACTATGAAATTCCTGCAGCGTCCCGATGGGCCTGGCAGCTTCTTAGCTGGTTCTGATACACTTCGCTAAGATACGGATTCAAAGCCAGATAAATCTCCTAATGTTATAAATACCAACAATATGACCACAATTCTCATTTGGAATGCTATAATTGTGCCGGACTAACTACTATGTCAAAAAATGAAACAAGCTCCCAAATGCAATAACAAGGGGAGAAAACATCTGAAACCTGAGACTGACTTGAAAGCGCTACCGAAGCAGAGTAATTACTCTACCCTGAAATCTCACCAGTTGACATAAAAAATAAAAGCTACTCATACCACTAGCATACTACACAAAATTACCTTTGTCAGTGTCAATGAGCTCATTCCAAGCAATCCCATCTGTTTCTCCCAGATGCAGAAATAATTATCTTTACTAACTCAAGTTATTCTCAGACATGAAAATAACTGAAAATAACTCAACGATAATCCTAAACTTGTCGTTCCTAACTCTTCTCTAATTTCTCTATAAGACAATTGCAACTCAGCTAACTAGCAATACTTTTGTTGTAGGTAACAGTGGCACAAATCATTCAACTGGCGCAAACCAGCAATAATAAATGCTTTCGAAATTTGTTCATCTCGTATGAACTGGAGCACGATATAACTTGCGATTTTCGAAGACAACCTTTAGTTTATACTTAATACTAGCTGTTCTCCGCGGTTTTACCCACCGTGTAATTTGGAAGAAATCGGATTATTGGAATTTTTGAAAGATTTTGTTTTTCTGTGTGACAAATCCGCTTTGGATAGGAGTTCCGTAAAATCCGTTCTTAGTGGGGGTCTACGTCGAGAAAAGAGTATATACTTCAAATTTCGAGTCAATCGGACGTATAGTTTTGGAGTTGGAGATCTCGTGATGAGTGAGTGAGTGAATGAGTCAGCGCACAAATAAACTCTTCAGCTTTATTATATTTGAATTTTTATATTTTTCGATAAAAACTTTGAATTTCTATATTTTTTAATAAAAAATATTACAAGTACGTCGGTTGAATGCGCCAACTTGAATAAATGCGGCAACGTTGTTTCATGTTGATGTAAAATAAAAAAGTTCAACAGTGCGTTCGAAAACACACTAGATAAAATTTACTCTTCTGAGGGTCAGTTTCTCAATAGCGAGTCACCTCCGGATTGGTTTTAACTCTACGGCAACCGTGTCCAGTTGCAATGTTTACCCTGGAGTTATGCTTAACACGGGGGTGACCGAAAAACCGGCCCTGATCACGTGACCATATACCCACTCCCATCCTTGGGTACAATTTACCCCTTTTTCGAACGCATTCTAAAAGTGGGGTCGTGTATGTGAATGAGTTTGTTTATAACTAATTCAATTTTTTTTTTTCAATATTGTTCTTTCCTTTGAAAAGAAAAGTGTCCTATGTTCTTTACTATACTCTTGAAAATATGTGTACAAACTTCCTTGATGATCGGTTTAGTAGTTTACTCGGGAAAGCGTAGCAAATAAACAAACAAAAACTCACATTCGCATTTATAATTAACTAGCTGACCCGGCGAACTTCGTTCCTCCTCTGAATTATTAAATACCTATTAAATGTTGTGTTAACGTATCTAAAGTGCGTTTTTTTTAAAGATAAACGTCAAAATGACATTATGTTGGCAATACAATGTAAAATTGTCAATGGTTTCAAAATTTTTATGTAGAAAAGGCTTGTGTTGGCAACATAGTTACTAAATTTTTGAATTGTGGAATTATCTTTAAAAAAAAACGGATTTTATTAACTGAATTAAATTCAGTTTTTTTCGATGGTGAATTTGGCTTTGGTTGAAGAAAATTAATTTTTACTCTCTGGATCAGAAGTCACCTAAAATTAAAATTTTACATCATCCCTTTTTAGGCATCTTGTGGGCATTATTCTTATAAAGTCTACCACCAAATAAATAAACTCAGGCACAAGAATGTTCAAAAAATGTAAAGAAAACAAAAAAAATCTCCAGCGCAGCCCTGTTTCATTTTATCTGCACTGCAATACTCCATCTGTTCTACTGTATCTGCACTATTCTATCTGATCTACTCTTTCTGCACCACTTTATCTGATCGGAATACTGGAATAGTTCTGTTTGGAATAGCTCCAGTTCCTTAGCAGTATTCTGTTCTACTGTATCTGCAATGAAATTACCGCACAACGGCGAACTTCGTTCTAGGTACCTATCATATATGGCGCCGAATACAAAATGGTTGTGGCGGACTCATAACCTGGCTCTCTGCCACTCGACACCAGCCGGACGGAGCACTCCGAACAGTCGGCACGGAACACGGCTGTCAAGGGATGCCTAAGAGGAGAAACGGAACTTAGCCACAGAACGTCAATGGTCAAGCGTCAAGAAATGACAGGGAGACCAGTTCGCGCTCTTTCGGAATGAACGAACCAACAACAAAATAAAATACACAATTAAAACATTGTCATTCTATTTATTTTTGGACATTTTTACTGTGAAGAACAATTAAAAATAAAGTGCCTTCCTCAAATTGTTTTTGTGCAAAGTGTGTGACAATAAAATCCACATGGTTTGCAATGAAAATGTGACGTTAAACTTGGTATCGGTTTTTAAGAGATGGCGCCGTATGCGGGCTTAGTGAGTTTTTTTTTCATGAATAAGTAAAATAGATAAATTTTTTTGGACAAAGACAAATCCAATAAAGCAAAAATCATAAAAATCAGTCCAGCCGTTCTCGAGTTATAAGTGCTCAACACCAACACAACTGTGTTTTATATATATAGATATTAGTGAGGATTTGTTTAAACTAGAGTTAGAGTTTACTCGCTTCACTTTTCATACGGTTTGTTTTCTTA